AAAACAACGCAAGAAATATGGGACCTGTTACTAAATAACAATTGATCATACATTCTAGAATCATCCAGGCTTAATTAAATGAAACTACGGCGAGCTTTATATATTCTAACCTTGCAGAATCTCATTTTCCATTGCCCTGGAGAGGGAGTTTTGTTCTTCAGCTTCTACCTGTAGACAGTTTATAAAAGTCAATGTTTAAGAACTCTTCAACTTTTTCCCTATGTTTGAATGAAGACACTTCCGCGATCCACGCAGTTTCACCAACCTTCTCGCCAACCCGAGGGGTTGCTTGCAAATCGCTCGGTTCCAAAGCCACGGTATCCGTCATGGCTGAAAATAATCCAAACGAAAAGCTTTTTTTAACATCTACAACCAGCCTGGGAAAAAGAAGGGGCGAGTTAAGGAATCAAGGCTCTAAATGCAACGAAAGTTGTCGATACAGCATGTTTCGGCCGCCATATTGAAAAGTGGCATGCGTAGACAAGGTAATACGCATTTTGAAAATCAAAAGACTGCTAAACATAGGGTAATGCAGGCGCAGTCCGGCTGGTACTTACTTCAGGTTTCTTGGAAGGACCACCCCACTTCACTGTATCTGTGACTGAGATTTAATAAATATAGCCACAATCTGGCCGGTTTACTCGTTGACTAATTTGCTGACTGATTTAACTTTTGAACTTAGCCGACATCTGGGCGACAGCATCTATGGCGGCAGGCCCCTGTTAAAGCCGACCATTTCTGGCCGAAATGGGCGGCTCTACTTTTTCGGCTTATGTTAAGAAAAAAGAATAAAATTCAAGCAAATTTGCGAGCCCATTAAAACCTCCTGGGTAATCCTGATACATTTTCCCAGCCAATTTGAAAAAAGTAACACATCAAATGGGGGACGCAAATTTTCTAGGTACGTCCTAGCGCGCAAAGTGATCGTTTCTTTTTACTGGACTTAAAAGGCCCGTCTTATGATTTCGTACCCATCCTCAGTCGTTCTATGTCTAATTTAAAACCGCCGGGCTCAAATTTAATATGGCTTGAGACAGCACTTGCCTCACTGTCCGTCTCCAAAGTCCGCCCACTAAGTATTGCTGGTATCGAACCTTTTCGGTATGCTTCGGCGGCATTTCGATCTCGTTTGTTCTCGCCATGGGTATATAACTGATCAGGATCAGTGATCCAAGATCACTTCGGATCATGGTACATCAAAGGAACCGATGAATCCGTGACCAGAGTGGATTCATCGGTTCCTTTGATGCACCATGATATGAGTGATCTTGTATCACTGATCCTTATGCGGATCAGCCCCAAAGGAACGCATCCTAAATCTCACCAAAATACGAACCATGGCTCGGCGAAGTCGCCTGATATGCCGGCGAAGCGTGTCGCAAAGGTACGATTAGGTACAAATATCCTACCAAAACATGCAAAGTCAAGCATTATAGGGTCAATTCGACGTCAACCGCTGACAAAGATGGATTTATTTTTATTATTATTTTCACCGCCTATTGTCCGTCAAAATGCCGCCAACAATATGGCCGACAATATTGTCAGTGGTGTTCCCTCTCTAACTCCGCCAACGGCCAAAGCATCCTCGTTCCCAGGGTTGGGATAGAGAGCCCCTGGTAACGAGTTCGCTGCCAACTTCAGTGTCTTTCACTCAGGTTCTTGCCTTCTCCAAGCTCTGTTAGCTTGACAGTTATTACCGATAAAAGTTTGAATCTTAGCTAATCTTATAATTCGTATCTATCGTATTGCCCTCTGCGCAAACCCAACTCAAATACATATACCATATCCTCTACACGCAGCAAGTATCTCTTGTCCTTGTTTAAAATTGCATTTATGGTTTTCACGGTTTCCGCGAGTTTTTGAAAAAAAATATGAACAGTCGCGATGACCCGAAAAAATTTTCGCACCTGAACCAACTAAAACTAAATGTCAACACAACAAAACCAAGTAAAACGTTTTAATTCCTCGCAACGAGTTGATTTTAATTTCTTATAAATCCTATCCTAGCTACAGAAGAAAGTTTCAACATGCTTCGTTTTAATGTTACCTAGCAATCTACCTTTAACCACGCCATGGTCGAACCTCTTTTTAAAACAGGCAACATAGGGGCAAAGCTGTCCGTATTATAAAATACCTGGTTTCTCAGGGTCTTCTTCGCAACCGTCGCCTTGCGTGACGTGATGACCCAAATTTCGGCTGCGAAGGAGACTGAGACCAAGGGTACTGCTGTCTATGAGGAGAAGTTCAACACTATTGCTGGTTTTCACATGACGTCACTAAAATTCGAACTGCAAAACTATTGATCTTCCTGAAATTTTACTTAAATGATGTATAAGAACAGCTGAAAACTAATATTCATACAAATATTCGCTCCGAATGGGTTTTTGCTTTTGTGATACACTACGCTTGAATTTCTAAGCTTTTGCGTGACGCGGCATTTACATGACGGCCTAGAGAGCTGTCATGATGGTTAAAAAA